GAAAACAAAATAACTGGAAATTAAGGTTCCAGAATTGTTTTCATATTGAAAATAAAATGAACATAAAATATGTATACAGAATTTTAATCCCAGAAAGTTGAAAGCCTGAAATTATAATCACAGAACGTAGTTTTACAGACATTGATAACGTCGCCCATAATTTTCCAGAAAATTAAATTCCATACAGTTTAAAGCCTGAAATTATAATCACATAACTTAGTTTTACAGAAAGTGATACTGTAGACCATAATTTCCCAGAAAATTAAATCTCAGAAAGTTTAATTTTTGAAATAACGTATAGGTATATATTATATACGTATAGGCTATATTTTGTGGATATGCATAGGCACAACTATGAGGAGGGGTTTTAAAACATTTCAATAGCCCTCCCCCCAGGGGGGGGGGAATTATGGAGGGGAATATGGGGATATATCCCCAAGAGGCTATTTTTTCTAGAATCACTTTAGATTTTTTTCTAGAATGCTTTTGGTACCTACTACATAATTCTATTAATTCTGTACCTAATAATTTAATTCTATGTATAGAAAAGCTATTGGCTATTTCCTGTGTTCAATAATAATATTTATGATTTTTATTATTTTAAACCATATTACTGGGTATTTATATAGATGTTAAAAAAAAAAAATAATAACTTAACTTAAGTTAATAAGTCAATTGTAAATGTTCATATAACTTTTAACTTAATTAGGTTAACTGTAAACTTTAAACTTTTTAAAATGTTTTCCATCAACATTAATCATTGAGATTTTTTTTATTTTACTAGTAGTTATTATAAAACTACGATAGCTCAACAATTTCAAAATATGACAAGACAGTAGCGTATCTGAAGGCTGAAGCTCATTTAAGGAAGGGGTGTATTGGTATCATAGATATGTGTAAAATGTATATGGACAGGTGGTAAGTACGCAGGTATGTAAAGGTTCAGAACTGCTGTTCTATATTAACCACGAGTACCTATTTTGTTTAAATTTGGCAAAGATAATACTATTTTTTATTGAAAATCTATTCTAAACACATCATTAGTAGGTAATTATTTTTTATGATTATTATTTAGTATTTACTAATTACTAAAGAGTGGACTTTAATTTATTAGAAAACTGAAATATTTTGTCTATGAAATGTACCTGTTATGCTTAATAATGGGGAACGGAAAAAAAGTCTGGCGGAAAAAAGTCTCGGGGGAAAAAAAGGCTTGGGGCAAAAAAGTTCATAAAACTAATGAAATATACAATTTGGAACATTTAAAATAAAACCTGGGTATAATATAACCACTCTGTATAATATATTAGTTTTGTGTGAAAGATACCTTAGTAAAATTATAAAATCTACTATTCACATATTATACCTAATATACGTTAATTTGGCTTGAAAACCTGTAAATAAAATTAGGATAAATAGGAAATATTTTGAACTAAGATTTAATGAGACATTTTTTTTTATAATTTTTTGATTATTAGCTATTATTATATATATATATTATTATATCATTGGATTCAAGTTTAATACAATCCATTATACAATGACCTTAGTAATATAAGCTGTAAAACATAAAAAATATTAAAAAACCTAAATAATTGTGAAATTATTGAAATTATCGCGAAATTGTGCAGGCTTTGAAGCATATTGTATATTTTAAATATTTTTACCACCGTACCTTTCATTGAACCAAAATTAGCAGCAGGGTCCATTAATAATTATTATTTATAATATTTGCCATGCTATTTGTGTTGAGGTCTTACGATTATATATATATTTATAGTTTATACACCCACCCACCCATTTCAGACATGAAGCAATTGCTTCAAATAATCCTATATCCCGCCGCCACTGGTCGCGGCGCCAGAATTTTAGTACCTACCAGGTGGGCCAGGCTGAGTGAATGTTTACTTCATATATTATGTAAAACAATATCTAGTAGTGGCAGGCACTTGCGCAAGTGGCGGCCGGTAACAGGGTTCAAACCCCCATTGCCTCAACTTCTTTTTACATTTCGTCGTTTAAACTTACTAAAACAATGATTTGTAAACATGATTTACCTATTAATTGTATTTTTTTTTTAATAATTAATAAATATTTTTTATACTTAAAAAATTACACCCAATACTCATCAAACCATCAGGCATTAATTGTAGTATAATTGAGTATACCTATTATCTAACTATAATAAAACATAACCATAAATGGTTTAAACTGACAATAAATATTATATGTTGTAACTTGTAATACCAATCAAATATACAACTCACGCAATGAGCATTCTTTTTTTAAAAGTATTTACTAATTACTATTATTATTTTCGTATTCAGACGCTGATGAACACACGTTGCCTATAGGCTATGAAGTTTGAGTGCATAGTGCATAGTTTTCAACCCATTCAAAACGAAGCTTACACTCAATATTTGTATATTCTTATAAATCATAAGATATAATTTTTAATGGCCGATTATGATTTATTTTATATTTTAACTTTTAAGGGTATTGCAGTACACGTATTATTCATACGTTTTAGATTTAGACCAATAAGCGGTGGTAAATTACATAGGTATACATTGGAATGTCTGATTTTAATTTTTTATACATGCGTATCATGTATGAACTCTGACAAAATATCTAGGTTTCTCAGGAAGTCGATTTTCATCTTTAAATTTTAAAGGACCTTAAAATAAGAATTTTTTTTTCAAAAATCGCATGAAATAATTGCATTACATTTGTATTTATTTTGGGCACATCAGATTTTAATCAAAAAATTGATTTCTAAAAAGCATAGTCTAGAAGCTTAAAATTCAACCATATTTTCGAAATTACAACCGAACTTCAGGAAGTATGTTTAATTTACTACCGCATTTAGTAGTTTTTATAGTTATGCAAACAAGAATATATTTCAGTTTTCGCCAAGTTTTGACATGCACATGGGGCGTGGGCGTGTGACAATTACATCCGGCGGCGGTTGCCCATCGCGGCATTACAGCGATTCTTGGAATCGACATGGCCCAAATGTTAATGTCATGTGAATTGCCTATATATTACTCCTTAAAACATGATACACTGTAGCACCCTTAATTTTGGGGTGGGCAACGGGAGGCCCAAGACTTTTTAAGGTGGTCCCGGACCCACCCCTGGCGTTACCACTTTGAGCTAACCACGTATGAAATACATTACAATTTTTTTCTCAATTTGTGGTTAGCGTTAGCTGGTTAGTTGTTAGTTCATACACCACCAGATGCCATGCATTTATCAATATTTATTACTATTGAATAATTAATAGTGGGTGCTAATTTTAATTAAATGATAAATCCAGATTCGATAAATTGACACCCCAAAACTTCCTACATACTACACCCCTATTTCATTATTTTTAGATTAACTAAATCCCAACTAAAAAAAAAAAAATGATAATGGCGAAGGGAGCCGCGTCAAAGCACTGGAAACCAAAATTAATGTAGGTTATGTACTCATGTGTAATTAATATAAACATTATTTATAATATTTAAAGCGATTGTAGAAACAATAATGAAACACATTACGTGACTATTTTAAGTTTTATTTCTAGTACTAAAATCACTGTTGTTTTCACTCATATTGGCCATATTGTATCCGTATTGTTTTAATTTTTTCCCAATGATTGAGCCGTAAAAATATTGTGAGCACAAGTAATGAGCCGTGGCATGAAAAAGTGTGAATACCTCTGGACTAAACTGACAGTGTATGGTTAATAATATTATGCGTAGGTTGGTATAGGTACATAAATTTAAAAAAATTACCTATTTATGTAGGTACCAGAAACCCGTAACCCACAAAACATTTTACACGATTTTGAACACAAAACCGGCCGAAATCCCAAGAAACTAGAAATAAAGATGTTAGTCACACGACTAAGTAAAAATAATTAAAATGGCTAATGAGAATTAATGAACTATTGACTAATAAATAATATATTGTATCTATCAATTTTACATGATTTATTTAATAAATTATTACCTAATACCTACCATTGATTATACATATAATACTATGTATAATCAATGCTAATACCTAAACTGTTGGCATCAGGCTATGAGTAATTTATTAGTTGAAATCAGATTTAAATCTTAAATACCTACTATATTATAATATTATTTATATTGTATAATATAATTTCAATATATTATATTATAGTGTTGATCATTGCTACTTAGAATTTTATAGTTATAAATAAAAAGCAGGTAAGTGGATGTCGCTCTGCTGTACAGTAGGATTACAAGTGGGTCAATGTATAATGGATTGTATTAAACTTGAATTCAATGATATAATATCATTGTATAAGAAAAACGATTCTGAGCGGAGATGGTTTATCCAACTAGATTTTTTAAATTTTTATCATCTATTATAGTCTTTATATTGAATTAATATTATTATATTATTATTTCTATTCGTTGTTATGGTGATAAGCAAACTGTTAGAAATTAAAATCCCATTTTTCGTAATTTGTCCGTAGTTTTTCGCGAGGTAACTATTAAATAACTATTGAGAAAATCGAAAGATGACCTCTCCAAAGTACCATCTTGATCCAATTTGCTAAAAGATAACGTACTATATGTTGAAATCGAAGGACTCCTTCTGGTAGAAATGTTGTATACAGGGCCGGATTTAAACATTATGGGGCCCAGGGCAAAAATATTTGGGGCCCTAAATGATCCATAACAAAAATTGCATACCTACCTAAACTTATTTCATGCGTAAAATATATTTATAGACTATAGTTACAACTAAAAATAACTATTTATGTTAAATAAATTGAACAAGTCATACAGTAATATATTATTTATTTTATTAATAAAAAAATATAATCTATGGCTAAAATGTATTTAATTAAATATATATATATTAATAAACTGTACCAAAAATTAATATTTATATTTTTAATAAAAAAAATAGTCAATTAAAAGTTAAGATTATTATTACAGTCATTAACCTATTATGTTTACATAGAAAATAGAATATTATAAATTGCATACTTTTCTTGATTTCTTTTCTGCAAAGTCATCTATAATATCATCAAATGACAGATTATCCAACACATCACTTTCAATGCTCATAACTGATAAAAAGTTCAAACGATCTTCATTCATTGTAGTTCGTAATCTATTTTTTATAATTTTCAATCTTGAAAATGTGCGTTCACTACTACAATTGGTGACCATAATTACTAAATACATGCGTAATGCGATTTCAACATTTGGAAAAGCTGATATTACGTCTTTTTCAATTAATGTTTTGTACATAAAATGCTCATTACTCATTTCTGTTGGCTTGGAATAAAGTTTTATAAATTCAGAAAAATGAATTATTTCAACAAACAACAATTCGTGTAAGTCGTCATCGTATACAGCTACAAGTTTTTTAGCTGCTTCTTGTAATTCTTCGTTGCTAAGATTATTTAATTGTCCAAAAAATCCAAAACGATCACATATTACTTCATATGCTTTAAGTCTTTGACTTATTGCTGATGACATTTGATCTATAACAGGCAAAAAACATTCTACTTTAAATTTTTCTGAATGATTTAGTTGTGAATCAGGACCTTTGCCATAATCTAAAGGATTCAATCGAATATTAAGTTTACGAGTTCGTTTTTTATTATCATTATATTCATTTGATTTTGAGATGATTTTGCCTTTTTTCTCAAACATTGAAAAACCATCGCGTTGAGCATCAATAAAGCACTTTAATGAAATGACAGATGCAACAGAATTATTAAGGTCTAATGTGGGAGCTTGAAGAATTTTATTAGTAGCGTTGAAACGATCCAGAATTTCGTTCCAAAATGCACAATATACACCTGTTTCTATTGCGTGACTTGTGACTGTGTGCGTAGTAAATGATTATTAGTATGTGTACGTGTCTCGCACTACACGTCTTCACCCTGTAATACTCGCTTTACTTACTTCTTATCTGCTAATTGACAAATAACTACATCAATGTATAGTAATACATAATAATAATCATTGCATATAAAATAACAATACGCACATAATGTATATTCATTTATTAAATATTTCTGAAAACTGATTTGAATCCGTTATTATGTATGTCTACTAGAGATCGGTCAGTCAACATTTTAAAAATTCTGAATTCCGAATAATTAATATTCAAATTCAGAAATTTCAAAATATTCAAATTAAATTATAGTTGTTGTTGGGGGAGGTGGTAAAATTGGGAAAAGTGGACTGACCGTTCTCAATTAGATATAATAACGAATTCAAATCAGTTTTCAGAAATATTTTTGCATTATTAGGTCGATCGGTAGAATGGTCAAAAGATAGGTATGTTTTGACTAAAATAACTGCACGTCACCGATCCCCTTAATATCCATTCTCTAATTATTATAATAAATTTATAAATATAAATTTATATATAAATATTTTCTACTTCGTATAGATTATTAAAATTATTTAATTTTAAATTTATTATAAATATTAGTATATTACTTACTTAAACAATTGAACAGTACAGGCTCATGAGTATTCTTGGCTGATCATAATGAAGTAACGAGATTTAGTCGAAAAGTGGAATGTACAAAATAATAAATAATTCACAATAAAGGCATAAACGCTATAAACAGCGATAAGCCGACAACGATTATAGACGTCTTGAATTTTCCAACATTTTACATTGTGATTTGTGACAGCAACTTTACGTCACCGTGATAATGCAATAACAACGACTGTAGTATACTACAGTCATTAGTTATTACCCCATAATGTTTAAATCCGGCCCTGTACAACTGTAGTACAATTTAATTTATATTTTATACCTAATTCATTTTTATTTTCAAAACTATATTTTTTTTTTTAAATATAGTTTGAGAACCCAAAATTTGGGTTCCAAATTGCAATTTTATTTTTTTCATTTTTTCATTTTTTTTTTTTTTATTTCTGATTCAAGTCTCGGGGGCCCCTAAAACTTGGGGGCCCGGGGCATATGCCCTTAATGCCCCCCGTCAAATCCGGCCCTGGTTGTATACAGGATATATATATATATATATATAAAAAAAAGAAGAAAAAGAAGAAAAATGAAAAATAAACACCATCGTAAAACCACTAGCTTCCTCACTTCGCTCAGAATCTATTATATTGTTAATATATTATGTACCTTTTTTTATTTTTCATTTAATAAGTTTCTTTACAAGTTACAATTAATATTGAAATACATAATGTATAAATGTTTACATATGTGTTCATTATGTTGGGATAAAGAATGTATCCACTCCTATAAGCCTTGGATTGTGGTGGAGTAGAGCCTACATCAATACATTATTACATTATAGTCTATAGTATATTAATTGTGCAATACATGTTGACTGTTATTACTTGTTTTTCGACTTGTCAATTCGTAATTATCAGTCATCGGGATTCGGGAAATACAATTTTTCCGTGCCTACCTAAATATTTCTATTTTCTTTAAGTCGTGGATTGTTAATAAAAGATAATTTTATTTAAGTCGTCTCTTTTCGAATTATTGTTATTTTGTAGTATTAAGTATAAATTTATCTAAACACTAAAGAGTTTAAAAACATTTTTTAATAAGAAATATGTTTTTTTGTAAATTGATACACTGCTTATTATGTGGCTATACTGTGGCCTGTGTCTCTTATTGTTAATAAAATATAATAAATACATCTAATGTGGCATACCTACACGTTTGAACACAATATTTTAACAATTAAATATATTACTGAACTTATTTTATAGCTGTGTTACACCAGAAACCGTGAAAACCTTAAAAACGTTAACCTTTATCAATGATTTAAATGTTGAACCCGTCACTAATAATTCCCGGTATACATCAACCGCAAACATTTTACACGGTTTTTTACACAAACCTGGAAAAGCGCAAAAATTGTTCACCGATTGATCAAACTTGAAATATTTTAACCCGATTTGACTCCCTGGAGGTACCTACACCGGCTACACCCAAATGCGAAGACTGGGCATTGAATCAAGTTAAAAAGTTAAGTTACATAACGAGTTACTTTGTTGAGAAGGACTTCTACCTTTACAGTTACATTTTTGTCCATTATAAGGCGCGCTGTAACTTGAGTTCATTTATTGTATTGTCATGTTAGTACATTTTTTGCGGACAGGACCCGTTTGGACCAATTTTTCTAAAACACCACTCGTTTGGACCAATTTTGAAGACCCGTTTGGACTAAAAAATATTACTTTTATACAACTCGTTTGGACCAGCATTTCCCTTCCCATTTTATTTTTAACAGGCTTAGGACTGTCTTTGGCACGGTTAAAAATGTTGTTTCTTATTATTATTATTATTATTATTTAATTGTGTATAATATTAAAAAAATAAATAGGTACATTAGGTACAAATTATTAATTTTTTAAATATGAGTCGACTAAATTACGAAAATATATTTTTTTAATGAACTATTTAAATTCGAGCTGCTTGAAACTTTTGTCCAATAATCTTTATATACGTCAATTGAGATATCTCACCATTTTTATATTGTGCCCATCGTATATGTAGTATGTTGTGTTTTTTAATGAACTATTTAAATTTGAGCTGCTTGAAACATTTATCTATTATTGTATTATACGTATGATGTATAATATAACTGTGGGTTTTTGGTCGGTTATCAATTATAAATAATTTTGTTCTGTACATAATCTACAAATTACAAATTAGTTTACACAGTTAAACTGAACATCTTATTACTCCGACGATGGCGCGTTTTCCTCTCCGATACTTAAGCTTAACCAATGTAAACTAAAAGCGCGCGCGTACGGCCTAAGCGGGCTTTCTAGTAAATATTTAGAAATTAGAAGTACTTTATTTAAAATGTACTGAAAAAATTGGCCCACACGGGTTCACAAAATCCTGGTCCAAACGGGTTGCATTTTTATTGGTGACCTAAACGTCCCTGGCCCAAACGTTTTTGCCTCGTATAAGCCCCTTCGATTTAACATAGGTATAATTAGTTTTGTCAATTTAAAAATTAAATAATCAAAAATATAAAATATTATTTTTAAATTATAAGAGGGTAGAAAACGGTTTTGGTCTTTTTGCTAAAATAATCATGAATTATATTCAAGATCATTAGAAATTAGCAGTATTAGATAATGATAGCGATAATAGGTACAAGTAGAGATCCGATTGTCCGAATGAAAGTATGAAACGTGTCGAGAAACCAAAAATATTAAGTCCTCACCTAAGTAACATTGTACTGCGGCAATGCTATTTTAAAACGTAAGAAATCGTATACAAACGACAAACAATTAATAATCTATTTGCCAATCTATTACGATTTAGATTTTACATTTTGAAAGATTTTAAGAAATGATTGAATGATTTATATTACCATCGTATAGGTGCTTTTAAAATGATATATTACGAAGAGTTAATTGATTCGTCATAATCATAAACTTTACTATGGGTACTTACCAGTTACCTACCTGTATAAACGTCCGATAATTATTCCATGTAAGAAGTATGCCTCACCACATAATATATATTTTACAAATAAAATAATGATGTTCTGTATTAAATTTGTAAAACATTAGATGATAATCAGATAATGCAGATAATTGTATTTATTATGTTTAATAATTGATGTGTAATGGGCTTTAGACTTGAGTCGTAGATGGACCATGATAGCAAATCACAGAATTAAGAACATATGATTTGCCATCGACCTTAATTATTCCCACGGTTAATGAATTAATCACCAGATTGTTTATTTTATCATTAAAATTATTTCAAGTTTTCAGCATAATAATATAATACCGTCGCGCTGGATCACGAATTCCAAAAGAATCACAGTCATCAGCAATACACGAAATTGTTGCCGGAGACCAGCATCCGAGAGACCGCACCGTCGCGATGAGAGTAGTGGGGATGGATATTTTCGTTCTGTCCGCAAAATCGGTCTTAAAAGTACCTGAACATTTTTGCTTATAACTCATAAACCATCAAACCAATCTCCTAGCGAGTTCCTCTGTTCCCACCTACACAATATTTCTGATCGATCGATTGATACCTTATACGACTTTATATGTTCAGCCGTTTGCCCCGTAGAACTGGACAATGGATTGACATAAATTAAGAGTTTTTCAATAGTAAAACTCTAGCTATATCAGGAGCTATACCTTGTATTAAATGTTTACACTTTTTGGCCCAACAGATAAAACTTAATTGATATTTATAGAAATAAAAAATAAAAAAATTGAAAATATCCGTAAACAGCTCAAAAAGAGTCAAAATATTTTCAAAATTGTATATGGTGTATAGAAAATGCTAATATAAACATTCAGTGAAATTTTCATCTATCTATAGTTATTCGTTTTAAATTACAACAAAATAAGGAAATCGCTACATGACACATGATAAATCGAGTGAATATCCAATATTGTAAAATTATGAACTTTAAGCGCTCATAAAAAAACTGTGACTAAAGATTTTTAATATTTTTCATCCGCCTTTGAAAGAATATACTAGGAGCCTTCTATTAAATTTTCAAGCTTTTTAACGAACAAATAAAATGTTATTGATATTTTTAGAAAAAAAACTAAAAAAAAATGGAAAATGAAAATGTTCTTAAACAGTTCAAAACAAATCATAATATTTTGAAAATTTTATCGTGTATAGAAAATGTAAATATAAATAACCAGTCAAAATT